CGAACTGGTAGCCATCAGAAATTTATTGTATTGAGAAAGACAAATTGTCCTAGAGTTCATGTAGAACTGACACATTTTATTTTTTAAACAAGAGAGAACAATATATAGTACTTAAACGTATTTCTCTACACTTAGGATTAGTTCTGAGAAGGGGATGTTTTCCCCATTAACAGCCATTTCTAGGAAATGTGATTGGAAGTTGTGAGACACTGGGGGGCTTTTACTTGCTGATATTTTTTCACACAAAGGGCATATGTTAGAATGGGAGGGAGGGTTGGGCATGAGTGTGCCTGACACACGTGTGATGATTTAGAGGCCTCTGTGCGCAGCCCCTTTTCCGCTGTCTTCTCTGCACACAGTTTTGGTCAGGGGACATTAACTTCTGGATACTTTTTAGCCAGTTTTCCGCATCTGATCCATCTTTCATGGATGAAAAGTGGACACAAAGATAGTTGTTGCCTTTGTTCAAAGCTGGCACCACTTTATGCAATCGACCAGATGTGTACCTTTGAAAACTTTTAAGGAAAACTTTATTCCTAATCTTGTTGTCAATTCTGTCTCCCCAGAAGAGTTTAAGTTAGAAATTTACCAGTTAGAGTCATTACATTTGCTCCATTAAAAAGCAGTGGTTTAGGGGCTGGGAAGGTGGCTCAGTGGTAGAGTGCTTGCCTTGCATGCCTGAGGCCCTGGGTTCGATTCCTCAGCACCACATAAGCAAAAAGAAAAAAGCCGGAAGTGGTGCTGTGGCTCAAGTGGTAGAGCGCTAGCCTTGAGCTGAAGAGCTGAGGGACAGTGCCCAGGCCCAGAGTTCAAGCCCCATGATCGGACCCAAAAAAATAAAATAAAAAATAAAAAAGCAGTGGTTTAATGGTGTTTAGTATCTCAATCTACTTAGTAAGATAACTGTTGTGGTTCCTCCAAGAATGTGTGTGTGTGTGTGTGTGTGTGTGTGTGTTCATGCGCGTGTGTGCACACGCGCTCATAATGGGGCTTAAACTTGGGGCCTAGGTGTTATCCCTGAGCTTTTTTTTTTTGCCCAAAGTTAGTGCTCTACCACTTGAGCCACAGCTCTGTTTCTGGCTTGTTGGTGGTTCATTGGAGATGAGAGCCATACAGACTTTCCTGCCAGGACTGGCTTCCAACCACAATCCTCAGATGCTAGCCTCCTGAGTAGCCAGGATGACAGGAATAAGCCACCAGTGCCTGGCTCTCACAAGAATTTTTGATGATCAAGAGACCTGTGTAGTTATTGTAAAATTTCTTTTAGATGGATTTATTTTGTGGACAGGTTTGGTGTTTAGAGCAGATGCTACTTTGAGAAGAGGGGAAGGGAAGACAGAAGTAATGTTTCAATAGCTGAAAGCCTACTATATGCCCCGAGTTATTGCATACGTTGACCAATGTAGCCTCTTGATGCTAGGTGAAATTCTTCTAGTTTATCATTGAGCCCAACATATTAAAAAAGACATAACCCACAGGCTCTGAGTGTTCTCTGAGTTAGCTGCCATTTTCTCCTGCCAGTTCCTTACTCCTTTGAAGGCTTATTCTCTAGAATGCTTTTCACCACCCTCTTCAACATCCTGGACTGTCCCATAACTATGTTCTTGTAGCTCTAGAGCATTAATTTTATTTGTGCCTTCTGAGTTCCTCGGCCTTGCCGCTGTCTCCATGAATGGAACTCTTAGCTGTGGCTACAGTGGTGGTGAGAAGGAAATCGAGAATCTGAGGATGTCTTCATCAGGCCCGAGTGTGCTGGGCACGAGGTTGCGCGTTGTGTCGTTGCGTCTCCCATCGGCTCTCTGCAGTAGTGGGACTCATTGTGTGCCCAGGGTCTGAAATCTGCAGCCAGTCCCATCTGGGAACGGGAAGCGAAGGCAATACCTCACATGAGCTTTGCGTTTCCGAGTCATTTACAGGTTTAAGCTCTTCAGTGAGTTTTCACAGGGTAGAGAACACTAGCAAAGTATTTTTGCCACAAAATTATCACCATGTTTCTAGACATTATAAGTATACAGCTGAGTCAGCATTAATGCCCATTACCATTTTATGTAATAATTGAGCTAACTATGGAGTGTGAAAATATTGTTTCACAGCTCCAAAGCATATAAAATATTAGATGCCTGCTTAATTCATCAGTAGAAACATTTTTGGAGACTTAAAGGTAAAAGATAAAGGGAGGAAAAAAAATCTATTTTTCACCAAATATAACTTCCCAATAAGTATGGCTAAAGAAGCCAGGCTCTGGAGGTTCACACCTGTAATCATAGCTACTCAGGAGGCTGAGATCTGTGAATCGCAGTTTGTAGCCAGCCTCTGCAAGAAAGTCCATGAGACTCTTATCATTTAACCCCCAGAAAATCAGAAGTGGCGCTGTGGCTCACGTAGTAGAGTGCTAGCCTTGAGCTGAAGAGCTGAGGGACAGTACCCAGGCCCAGAGTTCAATATCCACGACTGACAAAAAACAAAACAAAAAACGAAACACCAAAAAACAAGTATGGCTAAAGAAACAGCAAGATAAATTATTAAGAAATGTTTGGTTACAAATTGTTTTAACTACAATGAAAAAGTGCCTCATAACAAAAGACATCTATCTTTCAAAACATTTACTGCTTAAATGACTACTCTATTGGTCCCGCATAACACACAGGGTCGATCATAGAAGAAATTACTTGCCAGTCCAGTCCTAGGCCCTCCCTAGTCAATTGTACCCAAAGGGGAAACATTAATTGAACTGCAAGCCGTTTTTGTCTAAAGGCATCAAAGACATACTGATGTCATTAACTGGACCTTTCACCAGAATGCTGTAATTTCTCAAAATCAATGTTTTTCAAAATAACATCACTACATGAGACTTTGACAGTTTGAAGAGTCTCCTAACATTTGGTTGATCCAATAAAAAGCTCATTTGTGTCAATCCTTATGGTATCTGTATGTGAATATGAGTGATGTAAACATAAAGATAAATAGACAAATGATTATGTAGTATAGTCCCCATCTTCAGTGCTTGAGATGACCAAAGCGGTAAACCATACCATGTCAAAGATAGAATACTAGCTCTTTCCTACTAGGTTCCCCCCCACAAGCTTGTTTCAGCTTGTTCATCTTGTTAAACTTGTCTGCAATTGTTAAGATTTACAGTCGGAACACTCATTGTACATGTGCGATAAAGGAAGTGGGAAATGTGAAATTGGTCTTGGGGAGGATCCGATGGGATGAGGATGAATGGTGGAAGAGGAGATGCAGATCAAGAAGCAATGGACACAGAAATGGACATGTTAAATTGTAGCTCACTGTGCAGCCATTTGAAGGTTAGAAAAAAAAGTAATTTTCTGGAAGTTAGAGAAAATCAGACAAAAGATCTGGATGTGTATGTATGTTTATATATTTATATTTAGTCTTCAATTTATTTTTAATTATATTTAAATAATTGTACAGAAGAGTTTTAGATAGATAGATAGATAGATAGATAGATAGATAGATAGATAGATAGATAGATAGATAGAGCTGGTCCTAGGGCTTGAAATCAGGGCCTGGGTGTTGTCCCTGAGTTTTTTCTGCTCAAGGCTGGCACATTACCACTTGAGCTACACCTCCACTTCTGGCTTTTTTGGTGGTTAATTGCAGGTAAGAGTTTCATGGACTTTACTGTCTAGGTCAGCTTTGAACAAGAATCCTTATATCTTAGCCTCCTGAGTAGCTAGGCTCACAGGCATGAGCCACTGGGACTAGCTAATTATATTTTTATTATCATTAAGGAGTTGTACAAAAGAGATTCAACAAAACAGTTTATGAATACAGTGCATCTTGATTGATGTTTCCCCTTTCGTCATTCTCCCCTTCCCTCCCAGCCTTTCTGTTCCCATTTTTCTTAATTTTGTAGGCTATGCCTTGAATTTTAAGCTGCATTCTTCCCCTGAATAGATAATGTTTAAAAAGCAAGAACAAACTTGATGAAAGTCACATGTATAAGACCAGGCAATAAAATTATTTTCAAGGAAAAAAAATGCATGTATCCTGTTGGGTTATTTTGACACCCAATCTTTCTAGCATCGTTATTGGTAAGATTCTGACATAGGAAATGGATTACAGCAAGAAGCATATAGTACAATAGAGCATGAATTTTGGAAAGGCAATAGATAAAAATTGTATTTCTAAGCCTGAACAGCAGGAATCTTTTTGCTAAGTGTTGAGTCCATTGCCAGGAACACAAAAGGAGAAGTTGTCCTTCTGCTGAGCTAGACTAGGAACTACAGTTCTATCCAAACTGCTTTTCAGCATTCCAGTAGAGCCATCATTGGACTGGTTTAGTACATCTCTGTGTGACTGACGTGTACCTCAAGCTAGAGCCTCCTCTCATATTCCCGCTTCCATGGCTGGACAGTAAGGAAGCCTCTTTTCTGTTAGTGTTGGGGCTTGAATTCCAGGCCTGGTTACTGCACTTGAGCATTTTTGATCAAGGCTGATCTGCTACCATTTGAGCCACATTGTACTTCTGGCTTTTTGGTGGTGACTTGGAAATAAGTAAGCATCTCACAGACTTTCCTGCCTAGGCTGACTTTGAACCATGATCTCAGATCTCAACCTTTTGAGTAGCTAGTATTACCTGCATGAGCCACTGGCACCTGACTTTAAGGAAACCTAATTTGACTGAATTTAACAGTTGTCTCATGGATATTGGGGACGAATTTTAGGAAGATTCTTCTCCAGTGTATTGCCTCATGTTAAAGCTCCATAGCTGTTTTATCTTACAGGTAGGTGGAGTAGGGGAGGGAAGCTGGCCATATTTCATCCCACTTTGCAGTTCATGCTTAGACCACACACACTAGACTTCTCCCAAGTCTTGTAGCCCATTGAAAAGCATTCTGATGCACAGCTAGCTGCTTTGCCAAATTAAAGTTTTTCAGACTTAATCTGTCAGCAAGACCTGGGACTTTGATGGTGAGTCTATTAAAAGGTCAATCTGGTTCCTGGTCACCTTTTTTTTTTTTTTTTCTACACAGGAACCAAGAGTGTCTTTGGCTCTCATCTTCAGGACCAACGATGGCTATCTTTGATAAGCAGCAAGCGGGGTGAGGGAGGATGACACTTAGAAAGACACATATCTCCTGTCGACAAGCCTTGTGAGTGGAAGGCAGTCATGCCAGGGGCCTTGGTTTTCACCTGTGGGTTTATGAGGTGCCATCATTTGAACATCTGCTCTGGACTGAGAGAAGTGTGTGGCTTCTCCACCCCACATCTCACTAACTTGCTCTCGCTTCCATAGCAGAAAACAAGATCCAGTTTCCTAAGGGCTAGTGCATTTGCCTGCCATGCTTACAGGTCCAGAGACCCAGTCCACCTTCGTGTCTGTCTGTGTCTGCCTCCTCCTCTGGGAAATGGAGATGATCATGCTAGTTCCCTTATAAGGATGATGTATGTACTAACTCAGGATTGTGGTTGGCTGGTGGACAGCTGGACTTCATACCTAGTTACAGGTCCACACTGATAGGATCATTGCCAAGAGGTAGGAAACCAGTTTCTTCATTTTTCTGTAATGAGCATGGTTCATTCATTCATTTAGTCCAGAGCAGTGTAAACAACACACGTCTCAGCGTTTCATGTTAGAGCCGTACAGATGAATGCCCCTTTATAGAGTCTTCCCAGTCTTTCTGGAAATGAGATCCCTAAGTCGGGAAATCACAGTTGCTATTATGGCTTCTCTAATGATGAATGGGGGTTCAGGGGCTTGTGGCCCCTAAAACAAGTCTTTTCTGAAAGCCTGGTTTTTCTTTTTCTGTTTGTTTGTGCCGGTACTGAGGCTTGAACTCAGGACTTTGCACTCTTGATCAGCTTTTTGCTCTCATGGCTAGTGTACTACCACTTGAGTCACATCACTGGTTGTGCTTTTTTTTTTTGCCTGACCAGGCTGGCTTCCTGAGTAGCTAGGATTGTAACTGGGAACCACTAGCACCCAATAATCCCCTGTTTGTCAATGTACAACTCTGTGTTTTTGTGTGTAATTACCCCACACACGCCCCCCCCTCCCCCGAGTTTTAGTCAGTGCCTGACCTAGCAAGTGCACAGTAATATATAGTATGGTTGCACACAGTGTGGCAACAGAGTGTATAGCTTTTCTTGGGAGTTTATCTTCTTCTCCAAATAGGAGATTAGCTAATATTATGATGTTCTCAATTAATACTGCCTTCTGGAATCCTCTAATGAGCACAGAAACAATTTTCCCCTCATTGGAGCTACCTGGGAAGGTTCATTGTTTTGTGACTTTCTCAGACTCTCATCATTGCTAGAAGCTGACTAATTTGGAGGAGGGAAGTTAGGGTTTTAAAATGCCCCTCTTTGTACATCTGGCCTCACTGTCAAATCGCGAGTTGTTTCAGGTAAATTCTTTGGCTGGTGTGAATCAGCTTGACCATGTCTGGTAGTGTAGGTGGTGGTGATAATGAATTGAACAGAGAATACAGACAGGGGCAGGGAACATGGCTCTTGAACCCAGTGGGTAGAGAAGATGGGCGTTTTAGTCCATTTCACAGTAATGAGAAGGCGGCTTTGAGAATGATCAGTGACATCCACGACCTCATTTACCTCTGTTTCCTTTGAAAATGAAATAATTGTAGGTGGACTGAACCAACTCCCACCCCCACCCCCCCAAATGGGAACTTCAACAGGACAGCTACTGATAGATGCAACTCAGCTGTTTTTAGAGTGCTGTGTTCTTCCAGAGTAATGTTGCCCTGGACTCTTCTTTTGGACTCTGTGTGCATTTCAACTCTTGGCATGTCAGCAACTAGATATTTGGGAAAGACCATAGATTGTACAAACTTTCCAAGAAACAAGTAGAAACCAGCACATTTCCAGCAATGTATCCTTTAGTTCAGCTTCCTATTTGGAGCTTCAGTTATCCTATTCAATTATGAAAGCACGTGAACTCTAATGTGATCATCCTAGGTGACACCTCAACTTGGTTTTGAGATTGATTTTTTTTTTTTCTGTTGAGTCTTTAGAATGGACTGGCTTCTTTCTACAAAGGGCTAGAGCGTGGATGGTCCAGGTTCTGCCCATCACTCTAGCTAGACACGTAACAAATACGTACAGCTGTGCGCCATCAACACTATTAGTTGCACAGTGGAATTTGAATTTCACAGAATCATATCTGTCAAAGAATACTATTCATTCATCTTTTGATTTTTTTTTCTCTCCCAACTTTTTTTTTTTCTGTCAGTTGTGGGGCCTGAACTCTGGGCCTGGGCGTTGCTGTCCCTCAGCTCTTCAGCTCAAGGCTAGAGTCTACCACTTGAGCCACAGCACCACTTCCAGCTTTTTCTGCTTCTGCGATGCTGAGGAATCAAACCCAGAGCCTCATGCATGCAAGGCAAGCACTCTACCACTGAGTCACCTTCCCAGCCCTTCTCCCAACTATTGAAAAATGTAAAAATAATCCATTTGAGCCGGGTACCAGTGACTCACACCTGTAATCCTAGCTATGCAGGAGGCTGAGATCTGAGGATCACAGTTCAAAGCCAACCCAGGCAGGAAAGTCTGTGAGACTCTCATCTCCAATTAACCACCAGAAAACCAGAAGTTACACTATGGCTCAAGAGGTAGAGCACTCGCCTTGAGCTGAAGAGCTCAGGGACAGCGCCCAGGCCCAGAGTTCAAGCCCCATGACTGACACCCCACCCTCCCCCCCCAAAAAATCCATTGTAGCTCATAGGCCAAATAGAAAAAACTATTTACCTTGAAGGCTAGGTAGTTGTCTAACTGTTCTTAAACACTATTAGTAAAAGTAAAACAATTCAGCAAAAGATAGATTTAAGAAATCCCAGGACCTAGCACTATTTAAAAAAAAATCATTGAAATAATCCCAGAAAGGCACTCATGGTCATGTGGGCTGTTCCTGTATTCCTATAGTTAATTTATCCCCTAGAGAATGTGCAGTGGACATCCACCTGTGACTGAGGGTAGATTTGCATTCCAAGTCTAACAGGCCACCATGAAGCTGAGTTGCGATTTACACACACCTGTCTTTTGCTGTCCTCTTGTAGATCGTGTTGGGCTTCATTCTGGAAGAAGGAATACTGCATAGATTCTCCATACCGGTACCACGGAGATACTTTTGGGGAAGAAAGAAAAATGGTCATACAGAGCTGTTCCTTCAATGCACTTACACTTGAATAAGCTACATAGGCGACAGGCTCTATGGAGCTATCCTGGCTAGAAAAATCATGGCTTCCCTCATCAACACTCCAGTGCAGAGACATTGAAGTACAGAGCAGTTGCTGTAAAGGTCCTTGTGAGGACCAGTGCCTTGCTTTCCTGAGTCAGGAGCTTCCTTCTTAGATTTCAGGACCATGGAGAATGTCGAAGAAAGGCCTTCAGAGGGTGTCTGGTCATCATCTCCCTACCTGCTTATGGATGGAGGAGCACAGACTCGATGGAGGATGAATGGGGGGCTGGTGAAAAGCCACCAGACTTCACATCCAGGTGTCTTTACCAGAAGACAGTGTTTGGTTTTGAATCAAGATCCTAAGGTGCTGTATTGTTGTATTTCCACACATTGTGTCTAGAAGTCTCGAGGACCTTCCTGAAGAGAGCTGGAGAGTGGATGAGCAGTAACCATGGCAAAACAGACAGGTAGGTCCATGACACACCAAGATGCTGCTGTCAGGTTCGTGAGATGATCAGTCAGCTGCGTCTTCCTTAATTTTTTTTTAATGTAAAGTTATAGCACCTAGCTGCTACCTGGCTCATCTGTATTGGCAACCATGTCAGCCTGTCTCCTGTCAGATAAGAGCTCTGTCTCAGGGAGGGGGTGCTCACTTCCCCAAATCAGACGTAGCTGTGCATATGTTTGAGGTGCAGGTCACACTCTGCTCGTCCATGCGCCGGGAGTGGGTAGAATAGCAGCTCCACTGACCCTCCTGTACCCTGGAGGTCAGTTAGTGATCCTATAACTAGGTAGGTCTGTCTCAGATCCCTTTCCTGTGAATCTATAAAAATACTGGCCGCACTGGTATTTATAACCATGAAAAATCAGAAATAGGCTAGGGCTGATAGTACATACCAATGGATCTCATTGGGCTGGAGGCTGAGGAGGGCAGATCATGAGTTCAAGGCCAACCTCAGCTACACCGTGAGACTGTCTCAACAAAACAAAATAAGGAATTGGAAATTGCATTGATCTTCTATCATAGTGGGTGGTTGAAGGCCTTGTAGCATGTGTAAAGAATTTCTTCTCCAGCTATTTAAATGTGAAAATGATGGTTAAAAATGACTATATTATGTGACAGAGTTACAGGTTGCAAAATGTTCAAATGGCATGATAATGCAAAATGGAAAGAAAAAGATGCTGTGAAAGGTCAGATAAAACCACACACAGATACACACACAGACACACACACACACACACACACACACACACACACACACACACACACACACACGTCAGCAGGATGTTGTGATTAGCTTCTTGGGCCAGGCACCCAGACTGACCAGAGGTTCTGGTGTGAGGCTGACCTATCTCCATTACACGTCTGAGCATTTTCATCACTACATGTGATGCCATTTTAATGGCATCATTGTTGCTTCCCACAATGGCGTCCTGGGGAAATGCCAACTGGCGGTCACCTAAATGTGTCAGAAGGACCAATCATTGCTATAGGTGGCAACAGCAATGGAAGTTATAAGACAACAAGGAGTGTCTTCCTGGGGGACTGGCACTTTACAGTTTCTCCTCCTAAGGGAAGAGAACCCTCGTCCTGTCGCTGAGCGCCGTGGGCTGGGAAGAGCATTATAAATGAGAAAGCCCCAGGTCTGCAGGCTTTCCCTGGATCTGACACAGGGAGGAAGGGCTGGCCCTAGAGAAGCTAGCGCTCCTTGAGCATGATTCATAATGATTGCAGCAGATGGACCCTGAGGTCCGTGGCTCAGACTGCAGCTGAGAAAGCCCTCCCCTGAGGAGATGTGGCTGGCCTGGACCCTGTATTTCCCAGCAGGGGGGTGAGTGCTGAGCCTTCCCCCCCCCCCCCCCGCCCCCCCCCCCCCCTGGGCAGGGTTTCCAGTCTGCGCGCACACGTCAGAGCCCCTGCGTTTGTACCAGCTGGAAGCAGCCAGGATGTTTCTGCCGCCTCCCAGAAGAGCCTGGGAAGTCAGGGATTGGCAGGGAGGGGCTTGTTTCACACTCATTATTCTTTTATATGATGTGCAAGATAACAGAAAACATTAAATATTCCTGTAATCACACCAATTTATAAAACAACTAGCACAAACCAGAGAGAGTAACATGCCAGTCTGAAACACATCATCCCACCCCTTCTTGACAAAACTGGATTATCAGCCTGATAAGGTATATAAACCCAAGCGTATACATACTGTTAAGCTTACTAGGAGGGAAGAAAAGCTTTGCACTGTTGAGTTCTTATGTTTTTACGGTGCAATCCCACACTTGCTGATTTAAGACTATTAAGGATTTAAAATCAGCATTTGCAAAAATCCTTGAAAATTTAACAGCTGGTTTTGAACAAGCTCATATAGGCTCACAGATGTCTGTATCTTTTCCTTCCCTTTCATCTTAATCTTCTTCCTTTCTTCCCTCTTCTTCACCTTCCTTTTTTCTGGAATTGGAAACCGTATACCACTATTAATTACTCTGCCGGGAGTGTCCTTCAGACCTGCACATAGAGGCCCACTTGGCTCTATTGCTTGTGTAGTAGAATTTCCATGATGGTGTACCTCTTGTTTCTGGAACCTTCTTAGAAACGCAGACCTGCCTGCCAGGAGAGGAGCGAGTGACTGGCAGTGCTTCACATAGACGGGGCTGCGGTGCTGTCCACCTCTGCCTTCCCTTTGTGTTTCCTTAGCTTCTAGCCCATCAAGTTAGATTGAGACTCTTTTCTTCATTCCTCACCGTCTCCAGATTCTGAGAGAGAATCTTACTTTTTCTTGTGGCAAACCTTTTCTGATACTCTCCCATTCCCCAAGTACTCTCCAAGTGCCTCTCTTCATAATTCCTTAAAATCTAACATCCTACCATGCAGTGTCCATCAATAGACCTTCTTAGTTATTGAATGATGTGTCTTGTTTCTTGTTGAGAACCTCTGGGAGGCACAGAGATCACCAAACGTGTGCTCCCTCCTCTAGTCCCTAAGTGCTATTCTTACATAGGTAACTGTATTGCTTTATATGGCGAAAGTGTCTTTGTACATCCAATGAAGGTAACGTTACTAACCAGCTGATTCTTAATAAAGAAAGTGTCTGAAATTAACCGAGTGGGTCCATAATCACAAGGACCCTTACAAATAGAACTTTCTCTGATGGGATCAGGGGATGCTAGGAAGTACGTCAGGAGGGATACTGGGAGTGAGGAGATATAGATAAGCAATGGTAAGTTCAATGTAGAGACCTACATGTATGGACTGCAGAGAGGCCACTCTTTTCTCAGGTGGCCAGCAGCTAACAAAGCAACAGGCACATCCATCCTGCAGCCTCCGGCAACTGAATTCACCAACGACACAAAAAGCTTAGAGAATCCTTCCAGCACCTTCCTATAGGAGCCCAGGCAGCCCACACCTTACATTGAGCTCTGCTATTTGAGCAGATACTTCCGCCAAACTAGCCCACATTCTGATCCTCAGAACTGTGAGATAATTATACATGCATCGTTTTAAACTGAGTCTGTGGAGATCCATTAGTACAACTGTAGAAAGTCCCTATTAGAGTCTTAACAACTGGGAACACAGGCCCTGGGTCCCTCTTCTAACTTCCAGGGTGAGTTGCTCCTTCCCAGAAGACCCTCTCATCCCTTTACTCCCTTTTATACATTCAGCCCATCTTCCTCTGGGTCTCAGAGTGAGCAAGTTTGGCCATCTTCCAGATTCTTCATCTGTCTACCTACCAACAGTGACCACGTAGCGGCATTTACTTCCATGTTATGTGCTTATTTCCTAGCTCTAGGGTATACTCACATGCTGATCTAGGGGCATCTTGAGTAAAGGAGTGAGGCATCTGGACAGTGAAGTCCCTTTTACCATATTAGGTGTGGGGCCTACAACCACACATCAAAATAGCTCTTAACAGAATGTGTAATGGCTTCCTCTTGTCCTTCTCGAACAAGGATCCCTCTAAGGACTTGAAAAATCTGAGTATTTTTAGCACATTCTTCTTATAAGAGCATTTCTCTGTGTAAGCACTGCCTACCCTTTAAAGATGGCACACACATTGTCAAATAATATGTTGTAAGCCTTACAGGTGCACTGTTCTACTGTGTCATCAAAGCTAGCACGCTGAACACCTGGAATCAAGATGGAGTCGCCCATGGAGTTCTTACAGCAGTGCCCTGAGGTTGGACTCTAAGAGGATCTGCATCTTACGGAGAGGACACTGGGGCAGAGTGATTTTTATGGGCTGGCACTGAAATGTTCCCCTGAAGGTTAGCGGGCTTGGTTCTTGAGGTAGCAGGGCGCAGAGGGGAGAGAGGTGACTGGGTCCTGAGCTCTCCCTTCACCAGAGCATTACTCCGTTGATTGATCTATAGCGTAGTGGGTATTGGGAAGTGATGGGAGCTTTAGGAGCTCGGCCTCTTTGGAAATAAGTCATGGCGGGGTGACCTTGGATTGTCTGTCGGTCAGTCTGTCTGTCTGTCTGTCTGTCTCTCTGTCTCTCTCTCTCTCTCTTTTTCTCCTCTCTCTTAGCTTTCTTTGCCATGTATTTCATTCCTCAGGCCACACTGATTCCATGAGCCACAAACCTCTCCTCCTTTATGTGGATTCCTGCAAATGTCTCATCACAGTGTGGATAGCAGACTAACAGTAATGAGTGACCCAAGGCACACAGCTGTTTAGTAGTAGAGTCTGCATGAAAAGCCCAGGCAGTTTGGCTCTAGAGTCTGTAACCACCGGAATAACCTTAAGAGTTTTCCTTCCCTTTGCTTTCCATTTTGGTAGCGGTAGGGAGAAGAAGATGGTGGTGAGAAACAAGGATGATGCATCCATGGATGTCTCCCAGGTGAAGGGATAGGCCATCCTCGCAGCCACGGAAGGCTTCCTTCCCATCCAGTCCTCATCTCCTACCTTCCGTTCATTCTTCTGCTCTTAGAGCTGCTGTCTTTGTCCAGAGGGACAACAGCAGTCCACCAGTCGACCTTGAGATCCTCAAACTATGCTGTTTTCTTTATAATTTTAGGGTGTTTTTTTGTTGTTGTAGTTTGTTTTGGTCATGGAGGCTTGAACTCAGGGCCAGGGTATTGTCCCTGAGCCATTTTTGCTCAAGGCTATAGTGCTCTACCCCTTGGAGACACAGATCCACTTCTGGTTTTTGAGTAGTTAATTGGAGATTAGAGTCTCACGGGACTCTTCTGCCTGGGCTGGTTTCGAACTGCAATCCTCAGCTCTCAGCCTCCTGAATAGTTAGGATTAGGTGTGAGTCACCAACACCCGGCGCCAATTTTAATTTTTGATCTCTGGGTTTTTACCCCCAACTGCAATCCTGAGACCCCCTTTCTTCCTTTCTATTTCCTAAGCTAGGGAAACATGGAAACAGGAGGCAAAATATCTTTCCTTCTTCCATCCTCGGGAAGCCTGCCAAACAGTCTGTCCAGAGGCTGTTGGCTAGAGGCCCGTCCCCGTCCTCGGAAGCCA